GCAGGAGCAATAGCTTCAAGTTCAAGCCGCACTGTAAGGGTTGCCTGGTCTGATGAAACTCTAGATGGTGGCAGTGTTCGTGCGTGGTCTTTGCAAGACAACGTTGCAGCCGCGTTCTGAAGGCACGCAAACACGCTGTCAGTCAGCTGGCTCTTCGCTTGCCGAAAGCGCCGGCAGTTCTTCATAATGGCGCGCACTGTAGAATAATTTTCGCTGAAAAAGAAGTTGAATGCGTCATCTGCGATCCACTTAAAGCGGTCCTGCAACACTTTTGAGCAAGGTCAGAAAACGCTGCCGATCGGTAATAGAGACTCAAGAAAACACTAGAGCCAAATAATATAGCGCAACATGCGACCTGAAACTCACATGATCAATGTCAGCTTAAAATTCCTTTCTCTTCTCTTGAGAAATCACGAGAGACGCTGAAACAACGCGTGTAGAAGGCCATTCATCAGCCATTGGCTGATGAATGGCCTTCATTGGCTGAACATGGCGCACTCAGACATTCCAGAGATCGCCGCGAGAGGCCGCTACTTGTTTACGCGTGTGCGCGTGATCACACGGAAAAAGCCACGTATGCGAAGAAAAAACAAGAAAATGGTTCAACGCCTCCAGTAATGCGGGAGGTATTTCTTTTCCCATACCACCGTCCCTGCTGCGTTTTCGCCGGAACAAAAAAAGAAAGAATGCTATTGCCACGCACGACAATTCTTTGTAACTCCGCTCGTACTGAACAAATTCTTAAAACATTATGGCGTTCAATTCGTGAGGCAATAAGCTCTTTTAGCGAATTTGTTCCACGGTTACTTAAAAAATTGGCAGATCACACGTACAGTGGGAATCGATGATACGCGAAGCACGAAGGAGAAAGGTTCCTTTGTCACTTTGCAATCAGCAAAACGTTGCGAGGCGGACTTATATTATGCGTACATGACTTCCATGTCATGCTTATCATGTTTGAACGTGTCATTTACCTTCGTCGTTAATTTGCCTCACGTGATAACAAATTTTGTATATATGGAATCAGCAAAACGGCCGTGAGAGCGTTATGAGCGTCGCATGTAGTCATGTTTTACACGACACGCATATCATGATTATCATGTTTGCGCCAGTCATATACCTTCGTCATTCATTCACGTCACGTGGTAACCAATTGCATATGTGTGGAGCTAGCGAAACGGCCGCGAGTTCACACGAGCGTAGCATGTAGTCATGATTTACATAACATGCATATCATGATTATCATGTTTGAATGCGTCATTTACCTTCGTCGTATATTCTCGTCACGTGATATCAAACTTCGCACATGTGGAGTTAGCGAAACGGACATGAGCTAGTAATGAGCGTAGCATGTAGTCATGTTTTACATGACACGCATGTCATGATTGTCATGTTTCGACGTAGTCCATTCACATAACGTTATGCAAAATTTTGTTGATTCGAATCTAGCGAAACGGCCGCGAGCGCATCATGAGCCTGGTATGTCGCCATGTTCTTACGTCACACGGATGTCGTGATGATCATGTTTGCATAAGTCATATACTTTTCTCATTCACTGACATCACGTAACAGCAACTTTGGTATACGTGAAGCGAGCGAAACGACCACAAGCGTGCTATGAGCGTCACATGTAGTCATGATTTACATGACACAAATGTCATGATTATCATGTTTGGACGTGTTAATTACCTTTGTCGTCTGTTCGCGTCACGTAATACCAAATTTAGTAAATGTGAAGCAAGCGAAACGACCGAGAGCGCACCATGAGAATGGCGCGTAGTCATGTCTCACATGCCATGCGTGTCATGATTTTCACGTTAGGAGATGTCAATCATGTTCGCCATGCAGTCATGTCATACCACACCAATTTTGCAATATGTCACGAGAACAAAACCTCCTCAAGAGCAGCAAGACAATGAAATGAAAATTATGACATTCATGACATCCATGTCATGATTTTTATTTTATGACTAGTCACTTATGCTCTTCATACCATCATGTTATTCCATAAAAAGTTTGGTATCGATACCGTTGAAACGGCCACGACAAGCACAACAAAAGAGAAGGCATAGAGGTTAAGCAGGCAAATAGCCAAGGGAGCAATAAGTCGTAGATAGATAGATAGATAGATAGATAGATAGATAGATAGATAGATAGATAGATAGATAGATATGCTCGAAGTCGCTGAAGTTCGCTAAAAAATGCTTCGCATTTAAAATGTCCAACTTTGACAGCCTGCAGCATCTCGGCATTAGCTTTGCAACACATACCTAACATATCTTGCATATGCGAGAAGCAGGACTCCGTCGATGTGTGCACCCGAGACGCGAGCATTTTGTTCGCGGACATCGTTCGTGAAATTGGCTTGCCAAACAAGTCCAACGTTTTTTATTTGCACGTTGCCCAATTTCCAAGTTAAGTTTTATGGTTCATGTAGAACACTTTGGTAGTTCTCTCGAGGTAAAAAATAACATTAACCAGTATTTGCGACTCCGGCAATTCATGCGGCAATATAGGGAAACTGCGTACTGAGCTCCGAACAGTCCACGCGCCAGTCGTATACGGTAGCAGTACGGTTGAATATTGCCACCCGTGAAAAAAAAAAACGCACGACCAAGTAGATTTCTTCTTTCAGTTGAGGCACCAGTGTCAACTTGTTAACTCGAACCTTATAAATGATAATTGTATCCAGTTACTACATGTCGCTGCGGCGCCCGAAATATGTAAACCAATTTCGCAGACAGCGCGTGCACCATGTGCATTAAACGCAGAACGCGACCAATTCAAAAGCGCCGTTCGCGCTTGCGGGGTCACTGGTGCCAACTAAAACAAGATGCCCCAAGTCAACAACCCGCTCCCCTTCTGCAAAGCAGCGCGATCTGCAATCACACTGCAGACAACTCAATATTTGTGTTAGCGACAGCGGACATGATGACCTCCATGAATCCGCTGTGCTGCAACTTCGCAGTGCCATCTCATGTTCCTTTTAGTTGCAAAGAAGAGGCAGACCAAGCAGTGGCGATAACTTCGTTTCTGTACAATAAAAGTGCGTTCGATTATTTCGCGGAACGCGCGTTGTCCTTCACTGTCAGCAAATTTGAGTGGGACATTGCGAAGATGAATCTAGAGCGAAGATAGAGTGGAGGGCCCCCTCCAATCTGAACATACGACTGCCTTGAACCCCCCCCCCCCCCCCCCCCATATTTTACGCCGCTGCGATGGACACACGTGAACTGCATGCTACTCGCATGGCGATTCCCACATTATAAGTAGCTTGCTGCGCAGCACAACACTTCGACGGGCCACGAGCAGCCGACTCAATGAGATAGTACCAGGCGTACCTCGCGCCCATCCATGGCTAGGATGTAGCGGCCCTTACGACAATCCAGATCTTATGAAGGGAGAAACTTAATGTGCAGACGTGGGAAGCACTTCTGCTCGATAAAAATAAACTGAAGTATGCTTCAATAAGCAAGTCAAATGTTCGGTGGTTTTGTAGTCTCTGCCAGTCGACAAGAATTGTTGCACATCTGCAGCTATTCTTTGGCTATTAGGTCCTCTCTTGGGCGTGCATACACCTGGTCGTCTTTATATACGTCACACTCTGAAATCTGGTACTCTTATAAAAGCAATTAATGAATATGGTAGATTGCGCGAGTAGGTGATACATGATTGCTTCAAATGAGAGAGCACTACGTAGACGCGAAAGGATAGACAGGAACAAGTGGTTAATACAAACTGAATGCTTATTTAGAAAGTTGTGAAATATGTACTGACACATAAAAAAACTTCGAGGTACTGTAATTGCTACCTAAAGGTAGCACGTACAGTAACTCAACTGGCTGCCAAGCAAAGCACAGGGGCACCCGATACGGCGCCAGCAGAGGCCTTGAAAGCTATGGCTACACTAATGAAATTGTTTCATGTGTCATATACACTTCAAAGCTTTCCAAATAAACATTCAGTTGGTATTAGCGCTTGTCCCTGTCTGTCCTACTCACATCCACGTAATGTGCTCATATTTCAAACAATTAGTGGTGCCTTAATTTCTTATCATTTGGTATAAGGTGTTAAGCGTGGGTATCAAATAAAAACTGCAGCCTTGAATTTTTTCTGATCGCTATGTCACGGCTTCGCCAGCTATTTATTATAATACTCTTGAAACAATTATTTAGTTTATTCTTTGCCTCTTACCACTGAAATACTGACGTAATACTACAACTAAAATGAAAATTTTAAGAAGTGATTTTAGCGTCTTTGAGGTGATGATGAAGTGTTACCGGAAGTCTTAATCACACCGCTTTCCTAATTGCGCGAATATCAGCAAAAACTCATTAGGAGAGGGTATGGGACGGTCAAAGTTGTTGGAGCTCCCATGGAAGCCCTTCGACAAAGCACTTTAGGATAACTCAGTGGTATTTTTCACAACTTGGTAAAATCGTCCCAAAACTACAGCAAACACGACACCATAACAATAGTAAAAAGGACATAGGTGAAAACACCTAATGCGATTGTAAGTTGTGAAATCTGTGCACGAAAAGTTGGCTTCACCACGTAATATGAACATTTGACATCTCTTTGCACCGTGTGAGATTGCTGGCCACAAATCGGCGTCAGCGGCGTAAGGAACGTTATGCACAACTCTGCTACCTGACGGTAGCATGTATAGTAACTCTACTGGCAGCAATCCAAGGCACAGGGGTGCTCGATACGGCGCCTGCAGATACTCTGAAAGCTACGCCTACACTATCGACGTTATTCTAAAGGACAGGTGTCGTAGCAAACGCACCAAAATGACGTAGCCTTCTAAAGTAACAGTACGCTTCGAGGGTTGTCGCATAAGAAGGGGTGAGTGATTTTTTTCACATTTTTGGCATTCTTTTATATGATTATGGCACACATGAATTATGGAGCCCATGAATTATTTCAGGAACGTATGATGAGTGAAACATATAGATGTTCACATTCAGAAATAACAAAGTCAAATTTAATAAACTTACCAAGCATTTCTGGAGCTCCTACATTCGCCGAGACGTCAACTATTTGTGACCTAAAGAGAAAAGAATGGCTTGTGGTGATGAAGAGTAAGAGACAGAAGGACGAAGCTGTCAGCCAGGATAGTTATTGCCATTTTAAAATGAAGATATAACTCAAAAACAGAAAGAAAACTTCATACCAGCATACAATGACGGACTAATATTCCACCATTGTATGCTGGTGCCTTTTATTGACCTAGCTATCAGCACTCTGTTCAAAGGCTATTCAACATGTTAAAAATAAACAGTAAGTATTAAAAATTATCGTTGAACTATGAAGAAGTGATTGAGCTAACAAAATATTTTTGTTCAAATGAAGGCATCTCGGTTTTAAAAAGAAAGACATCTGAGGTAGCAGATAAAGAAGGCGGATAAGTGAGGCGATGAAAAGGTTTCTGCAGTTGAATGACGATGAGTGGATTCTCCATGGTAAGCCCGTTCTACATGGCAAGAGTGATGATTTCATACAGTTATAAACCAAGTGCAGAGAGGCCTTTGAAGACGGAACTAAATATATGTCGGGAGTATGATCATGGCAATGTTGAATGCTAGTCCTTCTCCTTGCGATGGAACATCAGTAGTGTGGTGATGCAACGGTGTCACTTGAGATAGAGTGAGACTTAGTGGCGCTAGAAGTACAGACGAGGCTTATGAAGTTGTGAATGACTTGGCAGTTATTTTGTTTTAGTAGGCACGTCAATATAAAAGAACTATGAGTGGGCTTTGTATTATAGGAAAAATCGCTGCTAACGCTGAATTATATGCACATATATCATGTATATAAGGAATAGGGGACGTTGTGTTTTGAAAGTAGATGGTACCAGAGCTAGTAACGCGCTTACTTGAAGTCATACTGGTAGTTTAGCAAAAAGCTTCTTTGGGACATGAAATCTACCAAGAATAAAGCATTATTATGTAAGGGATAGTCCAAAGGCAAAGTACAGGCATGTAAGACACCAAGCTCTTGCGGTACCGAACAGCTTCAGGGATTTCTGGAAATGAGCATTGGTAGTGATTGCGGGACGCAGTAACTTCAAATTATATTTTTCTGGAAAGAGGACCACTGGTAGCGGACGTTTAAAAACCCAAATAAGAAGACTCAAATTAAATATCATCAAGTTCTAAGTGAAGGCGACGTTTACAAGGTGGCTCACAAGGTCCAAGTCCCGAGGGCGGTCGGCACAGAACAGCCAAAACAAACGCACGAGCGCGAGAACTCCTGCGTATTCGCCAAGATTGTCGACTCTTTCAGCGTCACTTGGTAGCAAGGCATCAAGATTGTTTCGACATCACGACATTATAGAAGACAAAACGGCGTGAATCGTGTGGACCCTTGCATTGCTGTATATCTCTCATTGTTTTGTTCATCTTTCCGGTCAACCTGTTCGTTTGTGGGTGATAGACTGCAGTTCTAAAATGCGTGGTTCAACTTAGCTGAGGGAAGTGTTAGAGAAGCCATGCCGTAAACGCCGTTCCTCTGTCTGTGATAACGCAGGACGGAGCGTCGTGGCGTAGTACAATGCTCTCTACAAAAAACTGAGCAATGTCAGAAGTGGAGGATTGTTTGCATCCTTTGGAAGATCCTGTGTTTTAACGTAGCGGGGTAACTAATTTTTGGCGATGATTATCCAGTTGTTTTTTAAGACAACACTAAAAACGGGTCAAGGAGATTCATGCCGACCTGAGGAAAAGGTGTTCTGGATAACTGAATAGAGGGAATCAACTCTGCATGCTTCGCCGATGGAGGCTTTCGACGCTGGCATTCGCGGCAGGCATAGACGTATTGCGTGAAGCAAGCGGCCAGTATTGACCTATTAGTGATACTAGCTTTCACTAGCGAGTGTTCGAGCGATACCAAGGCGGCTAGATGAAGGTTTATAATGGCAGGTAATTATCATTTCGTCAAGAAGCTCTGCTGCACGGACCAATAGATAGGTTTGCTCACTGGCAGCAGTATTGTTCTTGTACACCACGCGGTGTCACAAACAGAAGAATTGCGAGATATACGTGGAGATAGAGATGCATTCCCACCCTCGAGATGTTCAATTATAGGTACAGATTCAACATCTGCTCGCTGTTTTGTAGCTACGTCGCATATGCTTATGGCTCTAGGAAAAGAGCAGTCATCTTCGAGGTTTTAAGCGGAAGGCTTCACTGGTGCTCGTGAAAACGTGTCTGCGTCTTTGTGAGCCCGACGTGACTTATCCACAATAGTGAGCAACGGCCTACATTACGCGTCGAGCTTCATCGGAGGGTGTCAACACCTGAAGTGGTGCACCAAGCTGAATAGATGGCTCGCGACGAGGTGCGCTGAGCGCCTGCTGGACTTCACCTCGTATGATGCTGGCTATGCAGTTAGCAGTCAGCTCCTGCTATTGCCTGGATGAATTGTTGCAGCTTGTTGCGGACGATCGAACGTATAAGCTTACGAAGCACTTCTAGTGTCTGCCGGGAATGTTACTAGCCCGATGGTGCACGTAGCATTCACTTGCCGATTATACCATTTCTGCTGGTGCAGCGTCTTCTCTATGGCAATGGCTTCAGTGAGAAATTCTGCAACAGCATTAGGAAGACCACGATCGAAACCACAAAAGATTTGTTCCTTCACGCCCCACATCAAGTGAAGCAGTTTCTTCGCTTGCGGCATGTTTGGATTGGATCGAGTGATAGAGGAACCACATCCTCCAAGTACATGGCAATACCTTCAGTGGGCATCTGTATGCGGGACTGAAAGGCTCAATAAGCTCACTCTCGACAATCAGGACTCAAGTATGTGTCCAGAAGTCTGCGACAGAAGCTCTCGCCATGGTGTTAGAGGGCCCTTGCGGTTTTGCAACTATGTACGAGCATCATCCAAAAGTCTGAAGCACACGTTTCTGAGCTTCGCTACATCATCCAACCAGCTAGGCCAATCCCAGACGTTACTTCAGTCATCCCACTGACACCCCCTACGTGCTCGAGCTCAGCCAACCAGTCTTGCACACCTTCAAAAAGGCCACCACTTAAGGAACTCGATATGAGTGGTTCTTGCAACCTCTAATAGGCGGGTGAAGCTGCAGATGGTGCTGCATATGCGGCAGCAGATGAGGTAACAGGAGTGTTAGCAGTAGCATCCTCCATACCTGTCGACGTTCTAGTTTGCGAGCGAAGAGCCAATCTAGGGGTCAGACTCCGAATTCTCCGACTAGCACGGTGAACTAGCGTAATCTTCGGGTTCTTACTGGCGCTCCTCCTACTGGAAGGAGTGTGTCACATAGATGATAATAACCAGCACCTCCACCATAGCGACGTTTACAAGGTGGCTTCGCAAGGTCCAAGTCCCGAGGGCGGTCGGCACAGCATAGTGAAAACAAAGGCGAATGCACGAAAACTACTGCAATTTTGTCTGTCTCTTTCACGCTGGCAGATTAAGCGTGGGACAATATGCTTCGTATTATTGGTCAAGAAGAATGTATTGCCATATATAGAGCAGGATATTCTTGATAGGATGATAGAACAGAAGAACTGGTACTGGAGGTAGCCCTTCGATATGTTTGTGTTAGGATTAGTAGGGCAGGATTATAGAGTACCATTACACAGCCAAGATTTGCGCAGTTCAAACGAAGTGAGTTTATCAGCGCGCGGAGTGCGCCAAACTTAGAGAACCCTTTGAGCTTTAAAAGCGAGAACACGTCTTTCGCTGTGCTTTCGTAGGCATGTTTTTTTTTTTCCTCTCGTGGCCACTTCGTGGCTCCACGCGCGCAGTCTTTTTGATTGCTTGTCATAGAGACCAGAAGGAAGCTCAAGGAATTCCTTATTTTAATGGAACAAAACTCACTAGTCCCCCACCACACTTCATTACAACTTCTGAAATGGGTGCGAGAAGAGCAAGGGCAGCAGGTAGCCGAGGTGCTCCCTGAGGAATTCCTCAAGGCTCTACTCCTTGCGACCTCACTGCGCAGACGTGCTCAACTCCCAAATGCGTTATACGAATTCCAAAAGAAACAGGCATCCAGGAAGCCAGCTCATTTGTAGCAACGATTATCCACTTTATTGCCGAAGGCAACATCAACGTGGAAAACGAGTCAAGGAAATCCATGCCGACCTGATGGAAATGTGTTCTGGGTGGCTCGATAAAGTGAAGCAATTCTGCAGGCTTCGCCGACGGAGACTTTCGACGCTGGCGTTCGTGGCAGGCTTGGACGTATTGCTTAATGTAAGCGGCCAATTTTGGCCATTACTAAGACTTGCTCACACTAGCAAGTGTTCGGGTGATGTCAAAGTGGTTAGATGCAGGTTCCTAATGGCAGGCAATCAGCATTTCGTCACCAAGCTCTGCGGCAACGGCCTATCGATAAGTTTGCTCATTGGCAGCAACATTTTTCTTGTACAACATGGCGTGTCGCAAATGGAAGGATTGCGAGCTATGAATTGAAGTAGAGATGCATTACCACCCTTGAGATGTTCAATTCTAGGTTGCAATTCAACATCTGCTCGATGTTTTAAAGCTACGTCGCATATGCATACGGCTCTAAAGGAAAGAGCAGTCATCTTCGAGGTTTTAAGCGGAAGGTTGCACTGGCACTCGTGAAAACTTGTCTGCGTCTTCGTGAGCCCGACCTGACTTATACATGTATGTGACATCCAAATTCTACCATCTCCGACTCCGGTGGGCTAGTCACCCGGAAGAATATCTCAGGTGCATCTGCCAGCACAGTGAGGAATGATCCGTCACTACCTTGAGCGGACGTCCATAGAGGTAAGGTCGAAACTTAGCAAGTGCCCACAAGATGGCAAGGCACTCCTTTTCCGCGATGCTGTAGTTAGACTGTGGCTGAAATATATTGTGCGCGATTTGCGGAAATGATGACATCTTCAATTCCATACTTTCACCGTACGAGTACCACGCTCAGACTGATGCTACTGACCTTGGTATTAATTTCAGTTTCTTGTTTCATGTCGAAGTGCCCAAGAAGACATGGTGATGCCAGGCGCTGCCTCAGCTTGGTGAACGCCGTTTTATGCTGGGAGCTCT